CCTCTCTGAGCACTTCTTAGAAAACTCTGAGAAGTTAACGGAAGCATCTGGGTGCTTCTTCTTGTGCTCCTCTCGGCAAGTTTGCACAAAGAATGCATATGATGACATCTTGCCTCTCGGCTTCTTAGGATCTCCTTTGCCCATGTTTACTTGTTTTCCTCAGTGAGGTACAGAGTCGCCCAGTGCCCATCCGGCTTTCACTTGCCCTGGCGCTGTCTCTATCTATGCTCAGATCTTTAATGTACATATGAAATCCTAGAACACAGGCCCATACGGAGAGCACACAGCTATCTTATACTTACTGCTTTATCTCCTCAAAGCCTAGCACAGTACTTTTATTATCATTAATTTTATTGAGAAACAAATAGCAGTGAGACAGTTTCAAAACTGATTAGGACAGTTTCAATAATTAATACATTGCATATTGTTGTCTTCATAGTAGTTATTCATAGTACAAGATGCAGACAGGATATCCTGTCCAAACACTATTATTACAAATCTTTCTTCTCATTGAATTAAGAGAAAGTAGCTGCATAAATATCCTATTTTTGTGTATACACATGTCTATATTTCACTATAAAATGGTCTTTCATTTATATCCCCCTTTGTTTAGTTTTGTCAGAGATAGGTATTCCACTGCCATTTAAATATTGTAGGTGTGCGTGAATTTAGCAAAATAATCCAATCTAGTCCAGTAGTCCATAATAGTAGGGGGTTATCCGTAGGACCGGCAATGTCAGAAGTTGTTGACTTGAGCCTTTCACAGCTCAGCATATTAATATGGCTTTACTTTTTATACCTCGTTTTTATACTTTGTAAACAATGGTAACACGACAAATGTTAAACAAAAAAGCAAGCTGTGTTCTCGGCATCTTTCTCTTCCTACCTACTACTTATGAGCTAGAATCTGCCTTCTACCCCGTCCTGCCAGTGCTCATGTGCAAGATACAAATTCTGGCCTCATCAGCAGTCACAAGACATTGCTTGCTTCCCGGCAGTACTGACTTTTACCATCACTCCCTGCCCTAGGTTCTCCTGCACATGCAACGTGACACATAACTGTTTTAGTCACTTGAGCTCCTATGACAAGTTGCCTGTGCTTTTATCCTTCAAAAGTTACATTTCAACAACTGCATAGCTTTCTTTTCAGAATTCTGTATACTAAAATATTGACTCTGTTATTTTAGACGTTCACTTTGTGTTCTGTGACCTAATCACTTGTTCTCGGCTACAGATATTGGGAAGCGGGCCTACCTGTCTCCTCCTTGATAACTACCCGAGAGTCTTGCTTTCTCCATCAAACTTTGCTCTGGAATGAGACTGTCTCCTTAGCTCCCTTCTTCTTGCTACTCTCCAAACAAGACCACGAGGCTTTCTTCCATCTGAAGCTTTTACTGCTACAGGCAACTACAGGAACTGCAGGCAATATTTATCGTGCTCATACAGTACTGACTTTAAAGTACTGCGCTCAGATTTGACAATGACTCAAGGATGGAAATAGTCTGTGTTTTGAACTTTGTGGACTAACAGTTTATTCCAGAGAGAAAGGTGAACTCTAATTATTTAATTAGTCATTTAATTAAAATGATAAATGTCATGAAAACAAAATGGGACCTTCCTAACTGCACATGTGGAAGAGGAGATGACAGTAGGCATGCTGTTGTTTGAGAAGGCTTTTTTTTTGAAAAACAGACACTGAAACTGAAACCTACATGCTCTATAGCAGCTAGCTAGCTAGAGAGCAGAAGTTTGGAAATGCTGCATATGCAAGGCTAAGAAGCAGAACATGAATACAAACAACTGAAATCGGCAATGGTGAAGTGTGAACACTGCGAGGATGGGCAGGAGCCAGTTGTGGCTGGGCACATGGGCAAGGACCACTTTATCTGGGCTGTCTAGTTCACTTTAAAGATGATTTTGAATTGGAAGAATGGCATTAAATTTTTATAAGATCTCTCGAGCTACAGTGTGGACAACAAACTATAAAAAGATCAGAGCTGACAGAAGATCAATTAGGAGGCTACCAGAGAAGATAAGATGGCGGCTTAGAGTGGCAACAGTACAGAGGAATAAAAGTTAGTGGGCATGTGATACACAGGAGAATCTGCTTGATTGAACAGGTTAACAAGTGGATAGTGCCGGACAGAAATGTCAAGATGATAGTAGTGCTTGCTGCTGAAACAAAAAACACTGGATCGAAACAGGATCTTTCCTTTATTCACAAAAGTGGTGAGTGGAAGCAGAACCTACTTCTAAGTTCTCTTTTAGAAATGTATTCTTATAGTTTGGAAATATTCAGTAAAGGTCAAAAACACTACTTCACTTTGTCACCTTGAACAAAGGAGTGCCTAATTAATATACTGACAGGTTCTGAACTTACACACAGCTAACACTGCCTGGGGAAAGTCTTGTGAGGAAAAAAGCCTCAGACCAAGCGTCAAGGGACAGTTCTTTGTAAAGGTCACATGGAGAAGACAAGCTGGCAAATAAATCCCAGCAAGAACAGCCAAAGAATAAAGATGAAAACAAAGACTGCAGAATCTCAGGTCCAAAGAGAAGAGAGTTCTAAGAAAGTGATCAGTACGTGTCAGGCGCCACTTGAAAGGATAAACAGTCTGAGATGAACAAAGGTTCATGAACAGATGAACAGAGAATACGAAATTTTGAGCACGGGTGGAAGAATCTACCTTAGGAAGGAAGAAGCCCACAGTGAAAAAGGAAAGAGAGAAGAATACCAACACTGATATTTACAGAGATTCTCAACTGATGGTTTCAATTCTGTTCTGTGAGCCTCAACAGAGTGAATGTTGGCACTGACAGTTGTGATTAGAATACAGTCAGGAATCTAGTAGGCAGAGAAGAAGCCCGTCAGCCATGTGCTTTACTCCTCAGGCCGTATGCTGAGATGGTCAGGAGACCGGTAGAAGTTGGTCAGTCATGAGGCCACTATGGAAATAGAAACACACTTTGCTGGGCTCAAGAAGTTGGAGGCAGTAATGGTCTGGAAGTGGCAACAAGGAACTGAAGGGTACCAATGAAGTGACCTCCAACTCTGAAAGACTAGATTTGAGAAAATAGGTAGCTACCATAAGAGAAAACTCCCAGAAAGAATCAGTATTTAGCTCAGATAGTAAGGATAAAAATTTGCAAAAGATGAAATATGGGGGAAGAAGAGAAGAAAAGAACAGGAAGTTAAGTCAGCCATAAAGAAGAAAAAAATGTTAGAGATGTGACAGTAGAAGAGGGCATCTGTGAGAAAGAGGTGCTCATTAGTTGGACATTGCCCGTGGAAAGGAGGGAAGAGTAAAGAAAACCAAGTAAGAAAGTTGCGCAGTTACAAGGCAGAAGTGCAGGCCTATAATTCCTGCTCTGAACTGAAGTTTGAATGGACTTGCAAGCTGCTGCTAACATCACTGTGATGCTCAGGGCTCAGGACCACCAAACTGGGTTTGGTTCCGCTATATTCGTTACAGTAGGGACCCACAAACTCTGTCCTGCCCATAATCACGATGGGGCACAATTCTACACATTCAGAGTAATAAAATCCTTGACATAAGGAGGTGCCACTCCAGAGTTATTCCTCTGATACAGACTCTTAGGTAACAGAAATACCAATGTCATTGTTCAAAAAAAAAAAAAAAAAAAAGTTCTTGCTCTATGATCATATTCAAGATACCTAAAAAGTTTCTGGAAATTTTCTCCATGTAAAAGCTTGGTTGGTTTTTTCAACATAAAAATGTTCACTTCATGTTTTCTGTTCTATATGGCATGAAGATCTGCCATATACCTATATCATAATATCAGAGAACTTGTAATTCAGAGGAGACTTCAGGGCAGAGACTGTCAACCTGTGGACTTCAGAATTTCAGAAGTCATAAAATTCATGTTAGAGATCTTCAAATCCATTATTTGGAGACTGAATAATGTCTTATGCCTACATATTTTGAATTGGAAAATAAACATAGATATTTTCACAATTCACTTTTTTCATGATTAACTTAAAAAAGGATGGTGAAACAGAGAAGTCATCCATCCAAAAAGTTTGGAACCGCTGTCCCGTGAACTGCCATGTTGAACCCAGGACTGCACACACGCATTTCCTGTTACTATGATCCTGACTGATCGCTGGCCAGCTCTGGCCAAGAGATGAAGTTTCCTCCTCACGGGTGGCCTGAGCACTTTCTGTCATAGTAAGTACACTTGGTGAGGGAAGTCATTCCCTATGTAGACAGCTAACATTTTGACACACTCTCCTCTGCATACCTCTAGTGCTAAGATCATCTGTTCTGCACGCGATAATCTTAGAAATATGTCAGAGTTAATGTGTCCACCTAAGGCTTCCTCTCACACTTCACACTTCAGGCAAGGAGGTAACCTGGTTCCCTCGTTCTTCCCTCTCCTCTTCCTGTCCCTTCAGGAAGCACTCACCCGTCAGTGTGCCTCTTAAAACTAACCATGACACAGCACATCAGACTTGATGTACTACAGCAACACACTGAATTTCATATGCGTATCCCTTGGGCAAGATGCTCCATCTGTTAATGTCACCTAAGTCTGGGCTTATAAAGCTCTTCTGTCAGCTAAACACTGAGGACCTTAGTTCTTTCTGTTGTGTTTCAGAACATACTTTCATTCTCAGTCAACAACCTGTCAAATCCTACCTCACCACTGACCCTCATTCCAGTTTCTTACAGTCCTGATTTGCCTTCTAACACCTTAGGTACTGTGCCTTGTTTTCTACCTCTGGTAAATCTGATGACAGGATTCATTCTATAGTGGAGCTTAATCCTGCCATTTAAATTAAGTTTTTCTTGTTTAAATGACTAATGACATTATATTAGAACATTAATTTTTATACTTAATGTATCACTTAGAGAATTCAAGACACTTTACAGTGATAGTTACTCAACTCTCACCTTGCAATAGCTCTGATGAAGTCTAGTGAAACTGTACACTTGTACTTTGGTCCATCAAGCTGATCATCATGGCCAACCAGGGCTAAGAGCTGAAGGGTCACTAGGGAGGTAATCTAGAAAAAAAAATGTGCAGGAAACCTGCTTTAATGAAATCACACAACATCCTTTTGCTGAAATATTTCATAGTACCACAGTACCACTGATAGACACGTAACTAAACCCATGAAGATACCTGGAAAGAAGGTGATCACTTTGAAATTCGTATGCGTAACTGTATATGTCTGGAATCCTCATGAAACAACCAGAAGAATCAGTTTTAATGGCTGAATCAAACTAGTGGCCCTTGAGGACATTGGAGGTACTTTATTTCATTAACGACTAACATGAGTGTTAAACCTTTTAAAAATACAAATAGAATATATTCTTTCTCTACATATGCATTTTCTGAAATTTCTATCTAAACACCTCAGACTAATAATGTTTTTTTTTTTTTTTTTTTGGTTGTTGTTTGTTTTTGCAGAACTGGGGATTGAACTCAGGCCCTTGTGCTTGCCAGGCAAGTGCTTATTCTACTGAGTTATCTCCCCGGCCCAATAAATAAAGGCAGGGCGGGGGCTCAAACCTGCGAGATTGCGCTGTAGAGCCTGACGCAAAAACTGCTACGCTAACTCTCCAGCTCACCTGAGACTAATAAACCCATACTATCTTGAGAAAACAATTAAAATTTGAAGTTGGGATTCCTCAGAATTAAGTAGCTGGTTAGATGACAGATACAGGGATCCTTGCAACCTAGGCCTAGCCTTGCTTTAAAACTTATCACTAATCAGGTGGTTAGGAAAACACTAGAACTAATAATGGCAAAAAAGAAAAAGTGTTATTTTAACAGGTCAACTAAACTAAAAAACATCTTCACATTCATCTGTCCAACTGGACAGAGTATTAAGTGCTCTGAAATCTAAAAAAGCAAGCTAATCCAAGAGCTTCCATTCTTTGATCGGCCAGCCTATTGTCTTCTCCCAATTTATTTGTTTTTCTCCTGTACACTAGCAAGAAAGAGCCAGCAATAGCAAGAACAAAAAAATTAGAGGGGTAACATGATACCTAATCATGTTTCAGGAATTAAAATGCTCACTTAATTTTGGGGCTAATACTCTGCAGATGTAAGGGAATAGTCTAAGTGCAATAAAAGTAATAGCCATCATTATCTGCTTGGTCTTAAGTACCCTGTACACTTTCTCTCATTTATTATTCATGCTCCGATTGGGTGAACACTATTATAGTCATTGTACAGATGTGTCTTAAAGACGTTAAGTAACTTTCCCTGGATGCCACCATAGTGGGTGGCAGGGCAAGAGCTGAAGCCGCCCACCCATCCTCGTCCTACTACCACACCTTGCAAGGACGCCACTACATGCTCATTGTGATTTCAAAAGGAAAACTGTCAGTGTTCAGGCAGCTGCCTTTGTTAATTTATTAACAAATTAAAGGTTCAATGCATAGGAAACATCACAATATTTTATAGAGAAAATACAATATTTAGCAAATATGAAGCATTTCAATTATAAAAATAATTTGTATCAATACCTCAGAATATAAAGCTTGGCATTCAAAATACTGACTTTAATTTTTAATTCAATATTATCAATTACATTATGCCTCAAAACATTTTTCATAACTGCTGTATGCTGAAGAGTACGCATACTGGCAGCTGTTGTGTGCTCTGTTCCTCACGTGTCTATTATATCAAGCTTGCTATTCGTTGTACTCAGATCTTTAAATATACCATTTAAAAAATCTATTTGATCTATCAAAACAAAGTATTAAATCCCCCTTTAAGAAGTCTCTCTTTTTGTATTTCTATTAGTTTTTGCTTTGTTTTTGAAGCTATGTTACTAAATGAATATAAATTTTAAATCACTAGGCTTTGCTAACAAATGAAACATTTTCATTATCACACAATGATCCTTCTGTTTTCTGGTATTGTCTTTGCCTTAGTGTATCCTTCCTTTCAATACAGCTGTATTGCATTCTTTGACTTTACTATCAAGTTTTATTCTCTCCTTCCTTCCTTCCTTCC